AATTTTCATAACATTTCATATCATTAGACATATTGTTAATTATTTGTTTTTGTATGATATTTATAAACAATCATATTAATTCACAAGTGATGCTTTTACAAGAAGCTGTGATACTTTTTTACTTTTCAAATTAATAATTTGATAAACATGTAATTACAATATTGCCAGTAAAAGCATAAAATAAGCTGCGTCTGTATAATAAACGAAGCAAATTTTGTGGCTGACAAGCAGATTTTGTTGAGACGAATATAATTAAACCAGGTTAGATTCAATGCAGGTGATGAATGATGTGGATGGTGACGTCACGTACTCCGGGCAACAAGAGATGCCACTTCTTGTATACGTTGCTCGCGAAAAAAGGCCTTCTCAACCACACAATTTCAAAGCTGGAGCAGTTAATGCCCTTGTAATAAATACCTCTCGCTTTCTCTGTCTCTTCCATTATAGATAATTACTTGAGAACTGGCTATTATATACAAGCTAATCAAAATTAACTTATTTGTGTTCGAATATCAATTTTGTCTTGAAATTCAGCAATTACCCTGCTTTTTGTATAATATTCATGTAATAGCTGATGATCTACTTTTTCTTATCACAGTTTAGGGTGTCTGCTCTTATAAGCAATGGTGGATATATTCTTCTACTGGATTGTGACCATTATTGCAATGACCCAACTTCTGCCCGACAAGCAATGTGCTTCTTTCTCGACCCTAAAGTCTCCCCAAAACTAGCTTGGGTTCAATTCCCTCAGAAATTCCATAATATTAGCCACCATGATCTTTATGATTGTCGCCTACTTTACTATTGGGTAATGCTCCATTAATTTTAACCATTTTTACCTTCTTTTTTTTTTTACAATGAATTAGACACTAGTTAGGTTCCACAAGCATCTATACTTATATAATAAGAATTAACATTTATCCAAAATAGTAGGTCAAATTATGGTCAATGTCAGATTTGCATTAAATATTTTTCAAAACTGATAAGTTTTTGTCCTTTTCACACTTCTCTTTAATTATGTCATTTTCACACTTCTCATTAATTATGTCATTTTCACACATCTAATTAATTTATTAATTACGACATAATTATCATAAATCATTCCATCTGAGCTTTTATCGTTAAATTGTATAGCGATCTGTTATGACCTTATCCCATTGATATTTCCATAAAGCGTCCTTATGGCGTTCTATTTTTTGGTAACCACTCTATATCAATAACTGGATATTTGATTAATGATAGCATACGTCTTTATTTCAAGGAGCGGATATTCTTTGAACTTTAATTAATCTGAACTGATTGCCTTGACTTTTCAATTTTTAAAAACTCTTTTTTAAATATTTCGGCTTAAGATTCGGATTTCATTATACAAGTCATCGGATTGTTTGAATGAAAATGAATGAAAAGAACACCAAAAACAGGTAGCCTTATTCATATAACCAATCCTAAAATATTAGTTTGTTCACCAAAAAGAGACAAATCCTAGAAATCCTAAAATATTAGTTTGTTTACTAATCCTAAAATATTCGTTTGTTCACCAAAAATATTAGTTTGATTTTTAGGATTTGTCTCTTTTGAAAATATTAGTTTGTGATACCAAATAATCAAACTCATAATGTTGTGTACAAGGAGGTTTTTAATAATATATGATTGTTACCGAACTTTTTATGATTGAACAATGTTCCTATGTATTTTATGATTTCAATTTCGATCCTAATGCACGTGAGGTTATATTATTCTTTCAAATTTTACATCCCGAGCATTGCACGGGTTACGTACTAGTAAGGGTTAAGTGGAGAGAAGAAATAAACTGATATTCAATGTAGGGGACAAATAATTTATTTTTTAAAAACTTTCAATGTTTCTTGTTTTAAGAAAACACAACATTTGTTAACTGTCTGTCTCGTCGAATTTAACTATAATGTCTTAAAACTTACAGCGAAGATGGCTCGGCATTGATGGAATAGAAGGACCATTCATATCTGGTTGCAACATGTACTTGAAAAGGGAAGCAGTATATGGAAGTAAAAACATGAAAAATGGTACTATGAAATATGGATACACCTACGGCAATTCTAAGTATATTGATTATTGTACATATGTAGCTACATGACAAGATGATCCATTTTGAATTTGAATCCAGATTTCAATATCAATGATATGAAGAAGTCCTTTGGCCCAAGCAACGAGTTAATAAAGTCGATTTCTATTTACAAAAACTACAAGCCAGTATTATCCGAGCACAGGAAAATTGGTATCGCTCTAGAAAACGAAGTTCAACTAGTAGCCTCATGCACCTATGACACCCATTCAGAATGGGGCAAAGAGGCAAGTTGAATAATTTTGTTGTTTGGATTTTATTTAGTTAATTTGGAAAGGCAGTTGTATTTTTTGTGCGTAAGTTGAATGTTGAAATTGCAGGTAGGATTCATATATAATTCGGTTGTGGAGGATGTTATCACAAGTGAATATTTACATTGCCAAGGTTGGTTTTCTGTGTTTTTGGACCCTGGCAGGCCCTGTTTTCTGGGCTCGTGCCCCACAAGCCTGAACGACGTTTTGGTCCAACAGGGAAGATGGGCCCTTGGCCAAATGCAGATTTCATTTTCTAAATATTTTGCTCTTACGTACGGTAGAGGAAAGATGTCCGCCCTTCAGTGCATGTGTTATGCAGCCCTCACATTGGACTCAATCTATGTTTTTCCCTTTTATTCTCTCTCCATTGTACCTCAAATATGTCTACTACATGGCATATCTCTTTATCCCAAGGTAAACAATTTTTGAGTTCAATGCAATCATGGATACATTAATTAAACTCGTGATTTTGCACGAGAATATTCTGAAAACTTTATAATTGTCCCAGGTTTCCGATCCATATTTCGTTGTGTTTGTCTCGGTATTTTTGGGCTCACAGATCAAACATATTCAAGAGGTTATGTTTTACGGCGATTCAATTTGGATAGCTCTTTATGAATTGCGGATGTGGATGATGAAGTCGGCTACGTGTTACTTGTATGCAGTTGTGGGTGCATTGTTTGATAACTTGGGCTTGCATAATGCACATTTTGCGCTAACAAACAAGGTTGTTGACCGTGAATCAGAAAGGCGCTTCAAGAAAGGCATCTATGATTTCCAAGGATCGCCTATGGTTATTGCTCCTATTTGTAGCTTGTACATAATTAATTTGGTTTCGTTCACTTTTGGGGTAGTGAGGATCGTCCGAGGTCACGAGGCTAGTGAAGTTTTTGCGCAAGCTTTAATCTCGTTGTTTGGGGTGATTGTGAATTATCACGTGTTTGAAGGGATGTTGTTGAGGAAGGATAATGGTCGGGTTTCACCATCGCTATCTCTCCTTTGTGCTGTAATTGCCACATTCATGTTGTGCTTTGGATCCCTAATCCTCATGTTCTAAGTTAGTGGAAATTTGTATTCGATCACTTTGATTTGATTAAGTGTAGTATGTTTAAAACTGTATTGTTGAGGGTGATTGAAGTATGTTATGGTAAGACTTGTTGAGTTTTTTATATTGTTAAAAATCACATTTAGATGTGATTGTTTTGATTTATATTTGGAAATGATGCCTGGATAAGACTATTTCATTGCAATCAAACGGTTTTGCTATGAAGCCAACAGTTGGCTCTATAGTGGAGCCAACCTTCTATATACAACAAATAAACCTACCATATTCTCTGATTACTTAAATAACATTAATATAATTTTATTAATATAGTAGGTTTATTTGTTGTATATAGAAGGTTGCCTCTACTATGGAGCCAACTGTTGGCTTCATAGCAAAACCGGCAATCAAATTCCCCATTGATTTCTTCCAACAAAACTTCGAAAGAGAAACAAAATGGAAAAAACTAGCAGGAACAGAAGCACAAGTAAGAGTTATAGACATAAATAGAAGCTCGAAAAATGATCCATCAGATGAAGAAATAGATCAGTTCGAATCTGCCACCCAATTTCCTCTCTTCCTCAGATCTAAAAAAAATATATATATATTTCCCCTCAGATTTAAAACCGGTTAATATTTCAGCCCCTCTTCTTCTGGCGGCGCGTTTCTTGTGGTCACCGGGCCGTTTCCAGCCAGTCGCGGCTGGGTGCTTTTTTTCCGCCTCCGGGAGTGCTGAGGGTGGTTAGCCGGCGGCCATTTTCGCCCCCGGTTTATCCCCCGCCTCCGGTGAGGTCGTCGGCTGTTGTTGCAAGGTTCAGCTGCGGGAATTCGTCAGTCTGTTTGGAGGCTTGATCTTGTGCGACCATGTTCTTCTTGGAAGTCGACTCTGGCTTGGGCGTGACCATGTTCTTCTTGGAGGTCCCGTGCGCCCCTGTTCTGCCTGGCTACAGGTCCTTCAGGTCGTGCGGCTCGGTTACAGGTTTTCGTCTCTTCGATCTCTCGTCTGGAGTCCTCCGGTGAGTTCATGACGGCTCTCTTTCCTTTACCCGGCGTTGAAGGTCTTTGGGGCTAAGATCTGGCCAAAAATTCATTTAGGCGATAGAGTGACCGCAGTTTTTGGGTTTGGAGCCTAGTTTGTTGCTCGATTGGGTTTCTTTGTTGTGAGTGTGACTTGGTAGACGGTTCAAGTGGTCGTGGGATTCAGCTGTTAGGTTTAGGGGAGGTTTTACTCTATCCTGTTGTTTATTAGGTGTGTGTCGTTTTTCTCTGTTGGTTGTTGTTATTCGTTCATTATGTCCAATGACGTTTGGCATTTTGTCTATTTTATGGAGTTGGGTTATTGTGTATGTGGTTGACTCCTTATTGGAGTTTGTACCTCTTGGACATCTGAGTGCTTCCAAGGGGGTAGGTCCAGATTTTTTAGTTCCTGTGTGTCCGTTGACACTCCTTTGTACTTCTTGAAGTTTTTTGTTATTAATAAAATTTTCGTTTCAGTAAAAAAAAAAATTGATGAAGAAATAGATGACACCCTTGTTGTAAACATCTATTTATAGACATTATCAAGATATAGGCTTTGTAGGAATGAGTCAGGATCACATTAAGTCATGACGAAATTTTATCTTTACCGTATGATTGGAAAATATTTGTAATCTTACCATGGTGCTAAATTTAATTGTATTTTACCAAACACATGACATTTAATTGTACATATGCAAAGATTTTAGTTACCAAAAAAGAAGTGCAACGGATCCTTGATTTGCGCAGTTCATTTGGATTTTTTGATTTACATTATAAAAAAAAATTATAAAAATGGTATTATATATATCCTAGAAATTAGGAATTTGTTTTAATACAAATCTATATCTATATCTATATATATATATATATAATAAGAATTAACATTTACCACAAATAGTAATAAGGAAAAGTCAACCCACATTTATTATATACTATTTTCAGCAACTTTTTTTATTTTACATTTTAATTGTAATTCATTATTAAAAAATTGGATGGTTCCTAAATTAATGGGTTTTAGATGACGTATTCTGTTTCAAAAATTATAATTCATTTAAAATCGGATGGTTCCTAAATTAATGGTTACAAACTTTTCAAAGTTGTAATCTTTATGGCATCTTTTCTTTTTGACTTTTAATAATAAAATTATTCTAAATATATATATTCTAATCCAAAAATTCAATCATGTTATATATATATATAGAGAGAAAGGATCATATGAGAATGACTCTTAATGCGAGAAATGAGAATAAGTCTAGACCATGCGATCAAGCATATCAATGGTTATGATGAAGTCAAACTAGGTCAATCATTAATGGCAATTTAGTAATTATTTGATCATATTGTGGTCAAATATATGTATTTGATCAATAATTAAGGGTAAGTTGGTCCATACTCATTTATTATGTGGGACCCACTCACCAATTAAATATCTAATATTTCTTTTCATCTACCTCCCCCACAAATCGGTTCTGCAAACACACACACACACACACACACACCTGCCGCCGCCGCTGATCCACCGTCCGCCGCCAGCCATCAGTGCACTTCCCGCCACAACCCGAAATCGTACAAGACCACCGTTGCCGGAACCACAAACCCTCCCAACCAACATCTCCGCCCCATCTGCAACTTGCCCCGATAGCTCCTCCTCCGCCAACAGCCCCGCCTCCATCAAAAATTGCCTACTCCGTCGTCACTGAACAATCAACAATCAACAGAGGTGGCGGACGTCCGCCACAAATTTCACCCTCCGTCCGCCCACAGACCTGCCTCCGCCACAAATTTCACCTTCCGCCGTCGCACGCCCTCTTTCCCGCCGTCCAATTCGCTGACGGACGGAGACGAAGATACGTGCTTGCTGACGGAGATGAGGCGTCGAGACGGCTGAGACGAGGCGGCGAGCAGGCTTACGTTTCCTGTTCTTTTTCTTTTTTCTTTGTGATGAAGTTATCGGGCTGCTACCGGCGGGAGGTGGCGGCGTTGGATGGTGGGATAAGAAGACGCGGCGGGTGACCATATCGGAGGCGTCTGGACGGGTGGCCGGAGGTGGACGGTGGGTGGATGGAGGTGGACGGTGGGTGGATTTGATTTGGAATTGTGGGGTTATTTAGTGGAAATTGGATATATTATATGGGCTCAATTGTAATTTTTGAGTTTTAATTTATTTCAATTGGACACTTGAGGCAAATCTGTAATATACTAAAAGTTTAATTAATGCATTATAATGTTACATAAATTGCACATAAATATGTGATAAAGTGCACATTAAAAATACCACCATATATATATATAATTCTTTTTTTTTACGAAATAATAGACTTCCCAATAATGTGCATTCCGATTGTCGTTAATGTGTAATTTGTTTAATAATATTGTGTACCCGCACAACAAACATTTTTTTTAATGATTTGTTACAAAACAAACAAAAGTTGAATCAAAATATTTGGGTTATTTGATCCATTAGCCAATTATTTTAGTTAATTTTTCAGTTAACCAGAATAACTGAATAATTTATCGTTTATATTATAAAAAATATATTTTAGTGTTTTAATATTTATATTTCATATTTTATATTATTTATGGTTGAAAAATACCTAGAATATATATATATATATATATATATAATTAATAAAATACTATTTTTTATTTAATTTGGTCGTTTCAGTTATTTAAAAAAATTAAAGCCGACATCGAATCAAATAATCAAAATTTTAAAATAAACGCGGATAACAGAATCAAAATATAAAATTCGAACAAACATATTTATTTCAGTTGATATAGTGCAATATGATAACTAATAATGTGCAATCCGTTTAACACTAACGTGCATTCGAAGTGCAAATACTTTTTATAACAATATATTTAGTATTTAGAGTTTTTCATTTTATATTATTAGTTGCTCGAAATAAATAATATATATAGGTAAAATATAAATATAAAATTTTATTTAGTTGTTCTGTTGTGTTATTATTATTATTATTATTATTAAAGCCAAGTCCAACCGAAATAACCAAAAATTGAACATCTGGAAACACTAATAATTTTATTTATTATTTTTACATTATTTTAGGTTGAATTTTGAGTTTGGCCGATTTCGATTCTTGTTGTGCAATTTGATAGCGTTTAAAGTGCGACGTGTTGTTTTGTAAAGTGCAACGCGTTATTTTATAAAGTGCAACATATTAGTGTATAATGTGAATTACCGTGATTTTGGTCGTTGACATGGTCGTGTTTTGTGTGGATAAACGATTTGATTGATATTAAAGTATTGTGTATATCCGTTTTTTAGATTTATATTGTATGGTATTTTGGCGGGACATGGTTCACTTTAATTGTAGAGCATGACGATAAAGTGCAACGTGTTGTTTTATAAAGTGCAATGTGTTGTTTTATAAAGTGCAAGTCGATGATATGTAGAGTACACTAATTTATATGATCACGTATAAATTATGTGTTTTTGAAATCTATAATTAGTAGATATAATTTACAATGAAACAACCTAAATAATTTAAATAAATTATTATTTATTATTATAAAATTATATTTATTATTTTAATATTTTTATATATTATAATTTTACATATTAAAAATTTTAAACATTATTTTACTTTATTTATTTAATTTCTATGTAAATAAAGTCGAAACCAGGCCAAGAATAACTAGCATTTTAATGCGTTTGAAAACCCACAATGTCATATTAGTGTTTTTTTTTTTTCCCTTTTGTTTGTCACATAATGTTATTGTGCGATATACATTTATACCGGTATTATAATGTGCATTCTCGAATACGTTAATGTGCATTTGGTTCAACACTGTTGTGCAATGTGGTATTCACTAATGTGCATAATTATGATACTATTTCGCATTATGCATTGTGATTTTTCATATGATTGAGTTTGGTTGGTTAATCAAATTAATCTAAATAATTGTACTAATTTACAATTTATAATATAAAAATATATTTAGTTTTTTAATATTTTTTTAATATCCTTATATAATTTTTGGATGAAAACTCCATTTATATAATATATATATGCATAAAAAATATATACAAAATAATACACTTTATTTATTTTTTTGTAAATTACAAATTGACCCAGGAACTAAATTGCAATATATTAAAATTTTTGAAATTTGCAATTAAGTCATTAGAACATATCAAATTTTCAAATGATGCCCCAGGATACAAATTCCAATTTTCGTCGCCTTATTTACGTCAATCGGCTCTCGACTTCCTGCCCTCTGTCGCTACCAGCGAGATTCTCCCCCATCCTCATGCAGCCCATGGATCGACGAGTTTCAGCTTGAAGGTCGTTTTTCCTGCGACTTTTAGCCTTTTTTTTTTAATTCCGCCATTGAAGCTCGACCTTCGAGCTTGAAGGTCGATTTTTTCCGGCACCGTTGCACCTCAATCGATTTATTCCGGCACCGTTGAAGGTCGATTTTCAAATGAGGTGGAGTAAGTATGACGAGGACGACGACGGCCGATTGCCGGTGAGTCAGAGTTTGGCGGTGGAGAATGATGTCGGTGACGTACCTGGTGGCGTGCGGTGGCGCCTAGGCCATCTGTCAGATCCGATGACGGCGATAGTCGAGGCGGCGGTGAAGTGCGCCGGCGAGAATCGGCGCTTCTCAGCGGTTGAGGAGGGCGGTGGCGGCTGAGGATGACGGTGGTTGACTGTGTGGAGGTCTCTGGCGGCGACGGCAGACGACTGGCGGCGCATGGCGGGCGCCGGTGACTGGTAATCGGCGGATCTGTGTCGCCGTTTGTTTGTTGTGTGTGTATGTGTGTGTGAGAGAATAGAGCGTTGGGTGGGGGGTGGGTGAGAGAGGGGTGGGGCCGCTGTCGTGAATGTGTGTGTGAGTTGGGTGAGTAAATACGTGTTGGTGGGTATGGGTCCACTAGAAATATGTTAAAATATCCAAAATACCCTTAATGATGGTATAAGTCTAGTCTTTTTATCAATCGTTAGATTATCCGATCTAATGGCTGTAATTCATTCTCATTTCCTTCATTAAGTACCATTCTCATGTGAGCGTGACCCTATATATATATATATATATATATTGCATGCTAAAATTATTTTTTAAATTGCATACCCAATCAATTAATCTTAATTTTTTTAAATTACTATGTTTATTTTTTATTAATATGCATAAAATAAAAATAAATAATTTATCTTTAGATATATAATTTATAATCTTAATATACTATCATTTGGTGTAGACATATGAATCATAAAATTTTTTTATTTCATAAAATTAAATATTATATTTAAAGAAAATAATGAAATTACTTTGGATCAATCGGGTGATTGAACTAGGGTACCGCCCACGTTGATTGAATTACTTTTAGGTGATATTTAAAATAGTCAAAAAACTTGACATAACTTGGTTGGTCCCAGGTAACTAAGTTATGGATCAGTTTGACCAGACTAAATCAATTATTGAACCTAAATATAAATTTTGATATTGAAAGTACTTTATTATGCAGTCCAAACTTCAAGTAATCATATTAACAATACTTTTACGACAACATGATTAATGATTTATGAATATTTATATATCATTTTATTATTATTTATGTGAACATTATCAATTTTATTAATGTACGGTAAATACAAGATTTTCAGAACTGGACCGTCATCGAAACGATCAAGTTATTTTATTAAATCATTTGTAGTTGTTCAGATTTTAATACATAATACTTTAATATATATATAGTACGTTTTGTAATAAATTTAAATAAAAAGTGTTACTTAAATATCTAAATAATTTATAAATTCAAATATTTAAACTAATTGATAAACAATTTATAAATCTCTATTTTATTTAAATATATAATTTTATTTAAAATAATTTTTAATGTAACAAAATTTGTTTAGAAAATCGTCTCGATCCTACCAGTCTAACATACTGATGTTGACGGATTCGATAGCAAATATTTAATTCAAGCGCAATAGACTGGTTATAAACCGGTTCTCGGTCCATCCGGTCGGACTGTGTCTAACCCGGTTTAATTTAAAAATAATGGATAAATCATGATTAATATTATTTATTTATTTAATTTATCATACAATCAAAATATTATTTTCCCGTGCATCGCACGAGCCACACACTAGTTAAAAAGATAATGAATTTAAATTTCAAACAACGCCAACTTCTAAATATATATAAAATACACGATCAGGATTATATACAGAATATATATCGCAAATATATTCATTATATACCAACGACATAAAAAAATACACAACAGATATACAGAAGATAAATCAATCTCATTATATATAGAAAATATATATATATATACATAATATTTACAGAAAACACAAATCAATTTCTTTATTCTATACACCCCATTCTCTATATCCCTTTCATCCACACACATACGTTCATATGTGCCATTCACCCAATAATTTGATCCACACAATAATTAATAAGGTATGGATGCCAAAAACATATCAGCACAACAAATTTGAGGTAGACGTACAGAACAGTTGTGGTCCTACAACCTCGAATGCTAACGTCACGCATGACATTGCACGCTAGTATTACCCGATTATCCGTAGCACAACAATTTTGAAGTCTAGCTAATATATCATTTACTATACAGTATGATATTATTGCTATTTTCTTATTAGGATTTAACAACAATTTTGAAGTCTAGCTAATATATCATTTACTATACAGTATGATATTATTGCTATTTTCTTATTAGGATTTATAAGAAGGTGCTAATCTCAGTCATTTTATTTACCCACTTTGTCACATATTATTTAAAGTACCCACAAAAACTGAAAAAACACAAAGTCAAGTTGCCCCACAGAGTCCGTCATATTTCTTTCCTACGACCTACAAATACAAATTTCAATTGTCCATTAAAAAGAGGCTGTTTCAACGTTTTCTGTATTATGAGATAAGTAATCAAAGTATCATTAAATTGAATTTGGCTCAATTATTAAACAAACTTAAATGCACTTTTTAGTTTCATTATTATGAAAGAAACACTCTGAT